AATGGGATTTTATTGACTTTAGAAAATGCACAGATATTAAAACAAAACAGTCTTTGGTGTGGTGAAACAATGACCAGGAAATCACCACCGTTTTCCTTTGAACAAATAAAGTGACGAAGCAACGACTAAAGTTAGGATCCAGAAGAAGAATAAGAGCAAATTTATGGACTGGCTCGTTGGTCTAGGGGTATGATTCTCGCTTAGGGTGCGAGAGGTCCCGGGTTCAAATCCCGGACGAGCCCTATTTTTTTAAAAAAATATATTTTCTATAATATACAGGGTTGTTTAAAAAAAAAAAAAGTAAATTAGTATTTTATAGGTAGTTATGCTTTCGGCTCACTCCAGAACTTTAGAAAACGTCGAAGAAGGATTTAGTGACACCAACTGTAGTGCAGTTCGTTTCCCAGCGACGCTGCAATGTGAGGGACTTTTTCCCTCTTTTTATTATCGATCAATTCATCCTACAAAGTGTAAGAAAAATAAAAAAGGAAGCCTATTCCTTTTTCCTTTGTTTACTCCGCTGCTTTCCTTACGCACAAAATAAGAAGTCGTGGTAAGGAATGCTACAAAGGTGTTTTTTTTATCAAAAGGACAGACTATAAACGCTCATATAAATGCGAAAATATAAATGTAGTTATGCGGAATTTCAAACGTAGCTCCGGTATCCTGTCAATCCGTTCTCCTCAAGTTTGAGGAGATTATTTATTTGCATCTTTTGGCATCATGTCCTTGCTTAATTTGTTTTGATGAAAGATTTTGTAAAATATTTTTAAAAAAGGCCTCACACCCCCTTCAAAATACGAAGGAAACGAAAGCACTTCCTCCGACTACGGGCTCGTCCGGGATTTGAACCCGGGACCTCTCGCACCCGAAGCGAGAATCATACCCCTAGACCAACGAGCCGCTCTCAGTGAAACGCTCCTCGGCTGGCTTCTTCACTTTTATCCCGCCCCTCTTCTACTGCGCAGTCTCCCAAGGATTGGCTGCTCCGTTAGCACTGCTGCGTTTACTCTTTTGGGGAAATGGCTCCACGTTCAGTACTACTAGCCGCGGCGTTTGAATTCGCTTCTCGCCTGCCTGAAAGATCTGCCGTTAGCGCCCCCCTCCCCGCTCCTCACGGAGAACCTTTTCCATTTTTACTCAGTCCCCGAAGACGCTTTAGCCTGCTGGGAGGAAGACTATACCACTTGGCTCTCGAGGGGGGGGGGATTTACTTCTTTCTTTCTTCAGAAGTCCTCTTTGACATAGCTTATAGTAAATGCAGGGTAGGAATCTGTTCGTTTCTAATGAGACGATAAGCTTTATGAAGTTAATTTTGGCAAGCCCTTCCCTTTCCTCCTTCCTTCCCTCTCTTCTTCTCTTCCCTTCCCCCTTTCCTTCCCCCTTTCCTTCCACCTTTTATTTCTTTCCCTTCCCTTTTCCCTTCCTTTCTTTTCCTTCCCTTCCCTCTTCCATTTCCTTTCCCCTTCCCTTCCCTTTTCCCCTTCCTCTTTCCTTATCTTTTTCCTTTCCTCTTCCCTTCCCTCTTTCCCTTCCCTTCCCTCTTTCCTTTCCACTTTCCTTCCCTCTTTCTTCTCCCTTTTATTTCTTTCCCTGCCCTTCCCTCTTTCCTTCCTCCTTTCTTTTCCTTCCCATTTCTCTTTCATTTCATTTCCCCCTCCCTTCCCTCTTTCCTTTTTTTCCTGCAAAGTTCTCTCCAACTGATTACCCTCTTCTTTCTAAATAATAAAGTTTTCAAGTCAATTTGTCTAGGGGTCCTGTGCCTCAGACATGACAATAAGTAAAAGATCCTGGAAAAAAACTTCATTGACTCCTGACTTTTTGCAGAGTTTTCTAAGATAAAGTACAGGAGGGGTGAAGAGTGGAGGGATGAGTTAGATACATGCACCTGAGAGGATAGAATATAACACTTAATATGCATCACTTTTAGCTTTTTCAGACCATAAGAAGCGTTTAAAAGAGCATTTTATTCATTTATTTTGAATGTAGACTTTTCCCCCCAGAAATCTCTATTTTCATGGTCTGTAAAATGTATATGATCAGCACAACTTTGCTCAGCACAAATCTGTACATCCCAGTGGACAAATCCAGACATCCATATGAACAGGAAGATGAGTGTCTTAAGACATGTTTCTTTTACTCTGAGGTATAGCAACTCTCTGCTTTTACTCAAAACTCTCCATCAGCATTCCCCAATACCATGTTTTTCAGATAGCTTGAAGCAACATCAATAAACACCAGCCAAACTGCATTTTGTGAGAATTATTGTCTATGTCTACAATTGTTGATGAGGCTTTGATATCATTGAGAAAATGGTAGTTTTCTTCCATCTCATTGGATATAGTAGTTTCTGTCCCATCACAGCTTTTAACATAAACATTGTAGATTTTTGTGTAATCAGTAAGAAGTGATAGTATGAAAGACCATGCTTACTTTTCACATGTTTAAGCTATTAGTGAATGGTCACACATCATTCATCTGATAGCCATTTAATCTAAGTGTGTATGTTTAGATAAATCTAGCTGTTGAAAACAGTTCATGGATTTGATGGACTTGGTGTTAGTTTAGGATACTACAAGTTTTGTTATTTTGCTGCAAAACATAACAATTTAATTGAAACACAAATGCCAGAGACATGTCCTGTTAAGTAATTCACTGCTCCTTTACCCAACCAGATTGTTCAAATGAAATATGGAAAGATAACATAGACCAAAAACGATACAGTGATAGCACCAAATTTACAACTGGAGGCAGAATAAGTGGGTTTTCCATAAAATGTTTCCATCAAAATAATAGATTATTACATTTCTTTATATTTTGGCAGCTGCAGAAATGAATTAACATCCAAAGATATCTGCAAGGAAACTGACAACCTACTGGTTGATGGGTATTATAGTTCAGAGCATTTGAAGGGCAACATATTGTGAAAACCTAATCAATAAAGATCTAAGATTAGGCAGTTTTTCCCCAGCTTTGGAGTCACTGTTCTTGTTAAATCTGGAGGGAGGGAGGGAGGGGGAGAGAGAGAGAGAGAGAGGATAGATAGATAGATAGATAGATAGATAGATAGATAGATAGATAGATAGATAGATAGATAGATAGATAGTATAAATTTAAACACAAGAATACAAACTAAAACAGACTGAAGAAAAGGGGGAAAAAAACCAAAGGTGCAAAAAGAGAAAGTTACAAAAAATTGGAAAGATATAAAGAAGTGAGTTCTGATTATTTACAGCATTTATAAGTACAATTATTGACCCCTCTCTAAAATTACATTATCATTCTTCTTTCTCTTATCTAATCTTCAAAACTATGTCATAAATCCATTTATATGCAAGTTCTGCCATCTTCACCAACCATTCATCCATTGTAGATATTACCAAATCTTTCCAACTTTGTGCATAAAAAATATCTTGCTAAAGTTATATATAAAAATAACGTTCTATAACTTTTTTTCCAAATAACCATCACTCTGAAGAAGAAAATTTCTAATTTCATTTGAATATTTTATTTTATTTATTTATTTATTTATTTGTATCCTGCCTGAGTTATTTTTACAAATAATTCAAGGCATATCCAGCATACTTTCCTCCTGTTTTCCCCACAAAAATCCTGTGAGTTGTTAATCCTCTAGATTAGTTGAATCTAATTTTTAAAGCTTTTTTTTGTTCAGCCTTTTTTTGTTCACATCTCCAACACACATTTAAAGTATTGATACATTTTAGATAATTTTTATGGAGTCATACTGTATACCCATGGTACATCATTTTATAAAAATTGTCTTTAAGTTTATAACAGTGTAAATCTCATTTCTTTCAACCACATATTTCCCATCTTTCCATCTGTATACTTAGCAGACTTTATCACACATTCCTTAACTTGTTCTTCTGTTTCAAATTTCAATACCATTTATAAATTTAACAAACATATCATTTGTACATAATTCTGTTTCAAAATCAGTGCTGCAATTTCAGTGCCATACATTATTTTATTTACTTTAATTCTGATAACTAAATAAAACAATTGTCTCCACCATTAGTAGAGACCTGGGTCAGAAAGTAGGAGAATCTTTTTTTTTCTAATCCTATCTTAAGCATGAAGGCAGCTGGGTGACTTTGGTAAGTCACCTGCACTTAGCCCATCTCACCTCACAGAGTTTTTGTGGGAAAAATAGGAGGAAGAAATGTTAGGTATGTTAGGTGTATTCATCACCTTGAGTTGCTTACAGAATAATAAAGGCAGGATAAAAATCTGAAGAATAAATAAATAAAATATTCCCAACACAAATAAAATGTCGATGAATAAATAGTCAGAGTGATGTATACTTAACAGCACTACCACTCCTACATTAAAAAATGTGTTTCTCTTTTACATTGATATCAAGTGAAAATACACAATTCATGTGCATATATTTGTGACTCATGATTCAATAAACAATACTATTTAATAGATTTTATGTGACAACAAAACAATGGTTATCTGTACTTTACGGATGTTCCTGAGAACAGAATGCTTTCCGGTAAGGAGAAATATTAAATAAGTGAATATATTGAACAAATATGGACCAATAGTAGCACCAATTAAAGGATAGATTTAGATTTGTTTACTTCATTAAAAGATAATGTCCTCATTATCTTTACATAGTATGTTTGAAATTTAAGATCCTGTGAAAAAAACCTCAGTGATTCAGGAATTGGATACTAATCTCAAGAAAGATGCAAACTGAGATCACACTAATAATAACATTTTAGTATTATCTCCTGGAATCTCCAAATAATTTTCTAAATAAACTTTTCCAAATGTTTTGACAATTAGATTCTTTCTGGATTTAGCATGTGAATCAAGGCTACACTACACTACGCTACACTGCACTAATAACTTTTCTAAATCTTCATATAAATATCGTGATTTCTGCAGTAAATCAAGGATAGGATATATAGTTTTTTTAGTTTAATCCAGGACATGTGATGGGCAACCCATAAGTTTTTAATACTGTAACTCAGATGGTTTAGTAAAACAAATACAAAAATTGTTACAGTGTTCTTCAGGTTCATGATTTTGCCGAGGCATAGCTAACAGTGCATAAATTAAGAAAATCCAAGAAAAAAATCCCAGTCATTCCATCTCTAGCTATTTTTCTGCAAAAGCAATGATCAAAGCAATAGATCATCAACAAACATGGGATGCATCTTTGCTGTATGAGGAAGGGACAAAAACAACCTGTATGGAAATGTTAACTGTCTGAATCAAATAATAAATGAATGCACAATAGCTTTTAGGTTTAACAAACACATTTTACACAAATCAAAATTACATAAGAAAATTCATTTTGCAGAATGGCATGTGCATAGATTACATAAATATTTATATAAAATTACTGTTATCTATGGCAACCAAAAAGCAGTACATACCAGTTTAATTATACAATCAACAAGAATCCATTATCTCCTTCATGCCTACTTGAGAAATTCACAGAATTAAACTGGCCATTTAGTATATGGTAAATGGGCAACTTTGATTGCAAAATTGTTTCATATACCATATTATTTCGTGAAATGTTATGATTATTTTTGAAACTACTTCATATTTTTGCTTTGAAGATAGCTTTTTGGAAGAGATGATAGTCTACAGTGTGCGATCTTCTGAGATCAGCACCATGCACTGTGATAATACTGAGACTTTAGCCATGTGAAGAAAACAAACAAAAATTGTCTGGCTCCTTTAGCCAGTAGCCATTCTGATTTTTAAAAGAACATCTGCAAATCACAGTTTGGGAAAATTATTTCTTAAATCTTGCTGCTAGCTGCAGTACCTGATTTCCCCTCCATTCAGAAAATGATGCTATGCTCTCTTTAGATCATTAAGATGCAGAACTATTCTATAGCTGACCAGCACAATGTGCAAAATAACACTGCCGTGAACCATGTTCACTTGTCAGTGATACCTATAATGTATAAGCAATATTTGTAGACCTAGGATTAAGTCCTTTCAGATAGTTACATTTATTTTATTCATACTGATAGGTGTATGCTTTCATTCTTCAGTCAACCCAAGCAGAACTGTACGAAGTTCAGCAATGCATAGTTGAATAGCAAATGTAGATGTATTCAGCTTGTTGCTTCCTAATTTGATTATATGTTTTCTCCCCATTTGATATTTCAGCCATTATTACTTATAATGTCTCATCCCATGTTTGACTAGGAGTTGTATTTCTAAAACATGTCTATCTAATGTGGGCATGGTTTGGTGTTTCCTATTTTTATTTCTATTCTATTCCTACTTCCTAAAATAATTGGAAATGTCTACTTAAGCAATTGCTATAACTGGCTTCTTAAAGAGAATAGCAGACTTTTCAAGATGCAGGTTATTTTGACAAATGAAATTGAAAGATGTTATTGCTTGCCAATTCAGTAATAGATTTTTTTAAAACACATCAGGAAGATCTGCCATGTATATTATAAGTAACTCTTTTCCTTTTTAAAAAAATATGAACAATAACCAAAGGACTTAGATCAATAGCACAATAGTTCAAACTTAATGTAACATTCATGTATAAAAATATCCACAAATTTAATATATGTATCATGTGAAGCTATGGTTTCACTATTCTTTGCTAAATAAGTCATTTAACTGAGTTTGCACATGTTAAACCATAAGACATGGCCTATTTATCACAATGGCTTAGCAATCTTGTGGCTAACTCTATCTATATTTTGCTGAATCCAGCCATAGCTTACTCCTGTGCTTAATAGCAAACTCAGAAAATCTCAAAAAATATAAACTGTTGTAGAAAATCAGTGTGGTGTTTTGTTTTGTTTTGTTTTGTTTCTTTGTCACATATACAAATTATCCCACAGCTACTAAGCAAACCAGAAGAGACTGAGTTTTGATGCTTCTGAGCTGACTGTATAATGGATATGTATGCAGTATAATTATAGCTCATAGGCCAGAAATGGTTTGGAAATGTCAACTTTAATCAGAAAGTGTAATTAATATGGATTATAGTCCTTTCCATTAAAAAAAAACCACTCAGCAACTGTTGAAATTCAATAGACAATATCCAAAACATGCTTTTGGCCTATCCCCACGTTTGAGAACCTTAAGGAGCTTGGTAAGGCTGCTTTCCATCACAGATGTTCTGATTTGTCTCAACAAAAGCTTACGAATTTCCAGCAGAAAGTAATAATTCAGGTTTCTTTGGTGTCTTCTTTAAAGAAATAGTTTATTTCTTTATAAGCTATTATAAACTAGAAATAGTTTATAAGCAAGTATTGCAAAAGGAACTCTAATAAATTGGCTTTCCATTTATCATTTGCTTAGTAATTATATTAGCACCATATCCTGGAGTTCAGAATAGTTTCATATTTGCAGTAGGTTGTGAAGTCCCAGTATCTTGTATGCTTGATTCATGATGTGAATCTTCACTTCCATTTATTTTTTCCTCCCTCTTTTCTTTATAAGTGTTTTCCATGTTGGAAGCATTACAGTTCTGTGGTTTTCTTTTGGTATCTTCTGTAGTATCAGTATCTGTATTCTTCCCTTTCTCATTGTTCACAGTCTTACTTGGTCTCTCCTCTGAAAGATTCTTCTGTGTCTTGTCTTCCTGGCTCTTTTTGAATTTTGTTACTTTTTCTGTATCCACTTCTTTCTCTGTTCCACTAGATTGTAGATCTGATGGCAATTTTTCATTAGAAGCTACTTGATTTTTTTTCTTCTGATGGTCTATGCCATCCACCGGGGCAGGTGAGGATTTCAAACATTTATTATTGTCCATAAATACATCCACTTCCTCCTTCTCCTCAGTTTGGGAACCATTTTCCTGAGGTAAAACTGTCCCTCCTAAATCTAGGTCATCTCCATATTCTGACTGTGATTTTCGAAACCTTCTAGATGGAGGTCTGCGCTTTATTGATCCTCGTGTCCTTACCTGAAAGTGGATAAAGCTGTGATTGAAATAAGAACATGACCCAGACCAGACATCATTAAAAACAACCAACAGAACTGCATTCATTCCTGGACACTTAGTTATTCTTCATAAGATTAAATTTTGGCATTACCATTTCTTTCACACCGAAGAACATAGGATTGTTACTTAGCAGAAAAGTGAAATAGTATTCTATTTTTTCAGTGCCAACTAGCATGTTACAATTACTTTGGCCAATGTGGTTTTTGTGGATAAGAAATATGATCTTCTGGTCTCTTTCAATGTATAGATCACCAACTTTATGATGATGATAAATGTGGTTATTTAAAATCTACCAGATTTTAAAATTAATTATTTTTAAAACACAAACATTGGGCAGAAGCTCCCAAATTTTCTATATTCATTCACCAAAACAATGGTTTTGGGTGGAAGAGTGGAAACAGTAAATGAATTGAGATATGGTATTACTGATAAAAGGAGAAAAGGATGTGACCCAAAGGCAATACTTTCCTATATGAGTTGATATTTCTTTAAGAAATCAATAACTTTCTCTCCTTTATTTAAAGCTTATCTTATTTTGTTCCATCCATGCAGTTGATATTGTCATGAATCTAGAGATTTGGTTACTTTGGCCAATCTGGAGTTTAAATAGAAAGATCATCTGTAGGATCATTCGTCAAAGTAAGCATGCATGAAGGAGCAGATAGATTAAAATCCAATATCAGTTTCAGGTAGTCAAAAGACAGGCCACAGACAAGTCATTTAGAGATGCTTAAGAATAGAGGAATCTATGTAGAACTATCAGGTATGGAAGGCTAGTGAGCGTAGGGAGTCACAAAAAAATAAAATTAGATCATCTGAAAGGAACCCCAAGGAAAGCTAGATGGTTAGCAATAGGAGCTGGGGAGAAAAGTGAACAAAAAAGAAAAATATGTTAGTGTTGCAAGTACCGGTATATATTGATTCATGTAATGATAGCAAGTTAAAGGAAGTGGTACATTTAAAGAAATTTCAGTCTCACAATCATATATACATTAAGCTAAATGGGAATTCCACATATTCAAATCTGAGGAATGTTGTTCTATATGGCTATAATTTGCCTAACAATAAAAAAATGATATTCTAACATTTCCTTCTCTTAAAAAGGTTCTCAGGACAGAATTCAGGAAGCTACTTTATACTAGGAACATCACATGTACTTCAAGAGAACTTTTAAAAAAATCAAAACTATGTCATGTACTTATTACAGTACTGTTATAAAATTCATGAAATAAAATTAATATTTCAGTCAAATGACATTGACATTTTTCTTTAAAAATAATTACTCATTTACTTCAATTAGTTAACTGTTACTTGATGAAAATTCTTTGTGGTCTTTTTGAAAACTGCTATAGCTGTTCATTGACTCATTTTATTTCATATTCATGTTTTTAGCGTAGGGTACAACAGTTTGAGAGACCTTCTTCCCCCCTGACTTCTTCCTTTCCTTTTCATCTTTAAATTGTCAATATTATGGTGATCAGCCTATATCTTACCTTATTATAAAACTGAAGATGAGTGCCTTCTGGTGGTTGTTCAAAACTAACAGGAGATTCATCAGGTATACTTGAATGAGTCTTTGGGCTGACAGGGGTGACAGGTGGACTGCTAAAAGGAGACACCATTGCCTTTAGTCCAGGGCTTTTAGGAGAAGCTCCTGGCAGCATAGAAGTTGGAGCAAGTGCCAAATTGGCCTGTAAAGAAAATGAGTGAATCATAAATAAGTACTTTCATTTTCTTCCCAATATTTGAAATTTTGCCTTAATACTACTCACTTTATCTATTGCTGAAGTCAGTTTATGGAGCACACCTAATATTAGTGAAACAGAGAGAGAGATTCCTAAATGATTAATAAGGCTATCTGCCAAGGAATGACATACTGTACTGTATATCTTTTTTTCTGGAATAATTGCAGTACCTTTGCCAGCATCTATTAAGAAGTAAACAGCATTCAGGGGTGAACATGAACTTCAAAACTGTTATCAACTTTATTTTGTGGAGAGGGGTTAATCATGTTCACCTCCTGAATAAAATAAGAATATTTTTTTTTAAATGAGCCAACAATGTTTAAGCAATGGCTCGGTAGAAAATATAAAATAGTTTCCAGCTCTGTGGGAGAAAAAAATAGGAAAGGGGGAAATATGAGAAAAAAGATGTAGTCTATGGAGTTGAGGTATTATTATTGATCTGTTTATCTCTGAACTGCCAAGGAATTATTCCAGACCCTCTATAGTTCGCTATTAAATGATAGGAAATAATTGGAGGTGGAGATGTGCTTAGGGCAGTGGTGGATTCCTACCGGTTCAGACCAGTTCGGCCAAACCAGTAGTGGTTTGGCGGCTTGGGTCACTGGAACTGGCAGCAACCCCGGCCTGCCATGCCCCCAAACTGGTTCTCCGGGCGGCGCCATAGGCACCACCATCTTGTTTTTCAGTTCTGTGCATGCAATTTTAATTGCACTGTGCATGCATGCATAATGCGCATTAAGCACACACATGCATAGCATACAATGAGCGAACCGGCAGTAGTGGCTGCCAGAACCCACCCCTGGCTCAAGGGTGCCATTAGATGTTCAATTATGGAAGAACAACCCTCTCTCCCAATAAATAAAATGACATACACAAAAACCAAAGAAAACATAAACCAAGATTCTGAGCAGATGTTCTATTAACAGTCAAGAATACTGGATATAAGACTATTCAAGACTATTCTAAAGAGAAGCTTCCAAAAGCACATTTACATAGCACCTATATCACCTATTTCAGTGGTGAGATTCATTTTTTTTACTACCAGTTCTGTGGGTGTGGCTTGGTGGGCGTGGCATGGCTCGGTGTGTATGGCTTAGGCATGGCAGGGGAAGGATACTGTAAAATCTCCATTCCCTCCCCACTCCAGGGGAAGGTTTCTGCAAAATCCCAATTTTTTCCTGATCAGCTGGGACTCAGGAGGCAGAGAATAGATGGGGGCAGGGCCAGTCAGAGGTGGTATTTATCAGTTCTTTGAACTACTCAAAATTTCTGCTACCGGTTCTCCAGAACTGGTCAGAACCTGCTGAATGCCATCTCTGACCTATATTGTCCCATATCCAAACAACAGAGAATAGCTTTCAAAGCAGCTGTGTGAGCCTTACAAAAAAGGAAGCTGTTTCGCAATGTCCTCTTTTGAATGCAGGCCTGAGTGGAATTTAGAGTGGGGGCAGCAGTTGAGGATGAGAGATATATTTGATCGAAGAGGTCTGGAAGGGAAAGAGCCCCTTCTCAGCAATAGTTCACATGACATCGCAATCTGATGTAACATTGTGATGGGTTCCTCATTTATGGATATTGACCAAATGCAGTTGTGAGGTAAAACTATAATAGCCACACAAGAGGACAGTAATCCTCCTTCATCCCCAAATTAATAGCAAATTATGATGGGAGAAGCCTCAGCATTTTTGGAACAGAGATGGGAAGCACTTGTACATGGGCAGAATTACCAAGAAACCTCCTGGAATTTAGGAGATAAAGAGGCCAGAGAAATGGAGGAACTTGCAATGAAATTGCAATTCCATAATAATAAATTGCAATTCCATAATCTTTGTCCCTGTTCCTATTGTTGGAAAAACAGCAACAGCCAAACCTCAGGGACTGAGGAAGAAGACAATACTGTCTGTCCATAAGGGAAAAATTCCCACTTCTGTCCTGAAGAACAGGAAGTAGTGGGGGTGGTGATTGGAGTCTCCTTGCTGAGAAGGCACAATCTGTTGGCTGAATAATGCGCTCAGAAAAACGTGCTGCCTTCCTAGGGCACACATTTAGAATGTGATGAAAAGCTTTCAAAGACTGAACACCTGTTGACACATTCCTTTTTGTTGATTCACAAGGGAACAAATTACACAGTTAAACAGGCAATGGAGGGGCAGCAAAGGATTATGAAGTGTTGGATAGGAAAGTGAAAGAGATGGTATTTTTTCACTCCTTCCTGTTGAAGGATACGACTTGGGAAGACGGAAGAATACTGAAATGGACTACTAAGAACACAGATGGTCCAATATTTGGATTACAAGATAATGGGTTGTATTTCCAAAACAAACAATTTCTGCAAAAGGTAGGCTGCATCTCACAAAAAATGAGAAAATTGTTTTTAGAGGATGTCATGCAAAGCAGATTCAGAGGGCTTTAAACTGAGTCCTTGGGAGGAAGGAGAAGAAAACTCTAAAAATAGTGCAACTCCAAGTCCTGGAAATTCAACTGGAAGGAGTATGTGAGATACAGAGGCATCCGATATATTAGGTCTGGATAGATAAACTAAGCTTTCCAGTTGTTTCTACACAATTGCACAGAGTATGGAGAACAATCATGGTTGTGTTAATCATGTGTTAATCAATTAATCATGTTGTGTTAAATTTATCTTGGCTGTTGTACATAATAAATATTTTATCTTTCTTTTAATAATTGCTAGTCACAGTGGTTAAATGCAGCACTGCAGGCTACTTCACCTGACTGCAGTTCTGCAGTTCGGCTGTTAAAATCTCACCGGCTCAGGGTTGACTCAGCCTTCTATCCTTCCAAGGTGGGTAAAATGAGGACCC